ATACTTCTGCGACATTTATGAATAGGAATTGAGGAACACTTTATTATTTTAACGTTTCAGTCAGTCTCTTTGGAATCGGAACTCGCATCAAAAATGTATGTTCCTTTTCTCTATTCTTTACTTCTTTATCTTATTATTCTTCACCTTTCGAATTTTATTGATATTTGACTTTCAGGATTTTTCAGTTTTAAAATATGTTTTCTATATGCATGTTTTAACCCCCCCCCCTTCCCGAAAAAAAAGAGAAAAGGATCTGTCTTAATGTATATGGAATTTGAAATAAATAAATAGTGATGTAAATTTGACTTTGCTGGAAACATTTTGCAGATTTCTGATCTACTCGTCTTTCTTAAATTTATACCAATTTCAATAACCTGGTTCAATCCATTTAAATAAGCAAGGCTTATATAAAGACTTAGTATTCCAATTTTGCTCAATTAAATTAAGGTACGATACGGTAATTAAAAAGCCAGTTGATCCCACCCTCCCACAAGCACACACGTTTTGGTACAGTACTTGTATAGGCTGTGAAACTATCTTATGCAAGTCATCTTAAAGATGGAAATTATCCCCCCCTTTCTGCACATATATCCCCTTCTTTCGAGTTTTGAATATTCTCCTTTTTCTGTTTGTCAAACATTTTTTTTCAGGTAAGTTGTAACCCCCCCCCCCCCCCCCAAAAAAAAAGAAAAAAAAAATACACACAAATTTTTAAAATCGACATGCCTTTTCAGTACATATTTTATATTTCCAATCACTGGAAACATTAAGCTTTAGAACTTTTAACATTTGTTTTTAATATTCAACATTCAACAAACAAAAAAAAAAAGCAAAACATTTTTTTAATCTTTGAGAGACAACTTTGATTTATTGTCATTTAACTTGATTTCTAGATTTACCGCTGTATTTAAGAATAGACTTATTTATTACAGTAAAAATGCAGTAAAATATTAAATGAAAGTTTTGACAAAATTCATGCTTTCTACTCAATTCATTTTCCAACGAAAAATGGCTAAGCAAATGGGAATTGAAAAGTAAAATGCAAGTAATATATGACCCAAATCTGTGCATGCAGGGCATTAAACACCCCTTATTTATTAAGGTTTATTTACAGTGTATCACATTGATCGAAAGTTGTACCTATAGTTTGCAAATTAGAAGCAAATTAAATGTGAAATTGAAATATAACGTCTGTACAATTCATTTTCTGAGATTGTAGTTGTTTGTAGTTCATACTTGATACTTGTCGATTTAATAATGACACGTTCTGTTACATTCAATATTTTCAGTGCATTTGAAAAATGAACACAAAAATTACATAATGTTATACTTCTATTATATTTTATTAAATGTATCCAGCATAGATAAGTTATCTTTCGTGACACCTTTTAATTAAAAAAGCATATTCACAAATAAACAAACATAAGATAAAAAATCATTTCCATGAAGTATCTAGGTTCATTGTATAAAACATGTAAACGACATGGTGCTTGGACATTTAAATCTGAATTGATTCGTGTCAATGATTCCTGCCGATTTCCTATCTGATGTGCCCGCTTTCTTTGGAGAGAAAAAAATTAATATGGAATTCACATGAGGAGTGTTTACTTAATTTTTGAAATAACAACAAATATTCTGATGATCTCTCCTGTAGAAACACTTACTTTTAAATCATGGATCAAAGTTATTATTTTTTCTTTTAAATATATTCTGTTTCAATTTTTTTTTCATCACATGTTACTGTGTAGCTACAAATTCTTGTATGTTCATTTCTTTTTTGGAACGTTAGCACTATAAATGAAAAAATGTGAACGTATTGAAAAATAAAACAATGTAAAATAATTTATAAAACATACTTTCCCACTTTATTCAAGGAGTAATGTTTACTACCAAATCTAAATTTTCAAGCAAAAAGAAAAATAAATAATTAAAAAAAATCACTGCATTCAAACCTAAAATGCTACTACGATGTGAATCGAATCCAGCGACAAACCAATGTAGCTACAGGGACACTATACATACAATGTATTTAAATCACCATTTAAAGCCAAAGCCCTAAACAATTGGACTTTGTCAATTTTCTGTCAGAAAATAAATGGGAAAAAATTAGATTTTCGTATTTCTGGGTCGTCTCTCCATTTTTTTTAAACAACTGGAATAAATTTTATCTTTAAAAATACTCTGATAACGCATTTAAAATGCATGGAGAGAAGACCCAGAAACAACGAAATTAATGAAAATCGGCTATAAAATGGTCGATTTTTGCATGATTTGATTCGTACGGCTATATTCAGGTCCATATTCAAATAAAATTAAACTTATTCAACTAAATATTTTCCCATTTTACATTCACCTACAACATAGTCAATTCTTAGGTTTTAAAAAAATGTATAAATCAATATTTTTTTTAGTCTTTTTATGAGCCAATATTCCTGCCGAATTGCCATCTAAAGTGGTCACTTTCTTTACTTTTTTTGTCAATATCATAAAATAATATTTTTTTAATCACGTTTAGGCCAAACATAACAATTTATTTTTGCCAGTAGGTTTAAAAATATGCCTTAATTAAGTATTGCAATGCTAGAAATAAATATTTTAGATAGAATAGTAGTTGAAAAGGCTATTCTTTTAAGATATTGTAAATTTTCAGAATATGAAAAGAACTGGAAAATTATTTGTGATATGCTATAATATTCTTCAAATTTATACTCAAATGTACCAGTATGGTAAAATAATGAAAACTGTTCCCCATTTCACTTTGTTTTCCTTCCTCCTCCTCCCCTCCCCTTTGTTTACTTCTTTGTGTATAAAGCTTTCACAATGAAGAGTCATAATGTACATGAATGTCATATATCTTTTGCAGCTTTATGAAATGAACTTCTATTTAGCATTTACCAAAGAGAATTTGTATTAAGTATATAATATAAATTACATGGAAGAAAAATTGAAAGTATGTATTGAATGAACACAAATCTATAGTACATAGTCTGTAAATGTGAAAGCAAAAATAAATTCTATGAATTAAAACAAAAATATATAACATTCTCAAAAGTTTGTATGTAGATTAAGCAAAAATAACTGTAAACTAAAATTATTATTTAACATTTTTATAAAGTTACTTTGTCAAGCTAAATGATTTCAATACACATGCAAGTACAGGTATTTAAATTATGTGACATGAAAGTGGTCAAAATCTAGAACCAAGACCAGGAAGTTGATTGTTACACTGTAAAAACAGTGTTTAGAATCTAAACACAAATCTAAACACATTTTTTGTATCACTTTTTTTACACGTTTAGCTCTAAACGTGTCTCATTTCTAAACACGTTAGACTTCATGTGTTTAGTTTCTAAACATGTTTAACCCCTAAACACTTATATCTAAACACATTTTTTGTTTCACTTTTTTTACACGTTTAGCCCTAAACGCGTCTCATTTCTAAACACACCAATGTTTAAGTGTTAAGTTGCTAAACATGTTTAGTTCCACAACATAAGATCAAACAGAATAGTTTAAATTATAAACTATCGCAGGAAAACATATTTTTGGAAGAAAAACGTTATTAAATAAGTTTTCTAGAAATACCATAACATTATTGAACATTCAAACATAGATTTATTTTGAAGAATTTTAAATTCAAAATACATATAGATTGAAAATTATCAAAAAAAATTGGTTTGTGTCAATATTAATCAGCTCAGCAAGCATGCACTTATTCCTCATGTCTGTAACAAAAATTAATCAAGCTTAATAATTTCCTGCAAGTCTTTCACTAGAAACACACGATCATATGTTTTTGTCCATAACTGCCAGAAAGGAATCCATTCCCATGATACGAATGTTTTGGAGCTGTTTAAAAATATACCGAACAGTATACTTCACAAAATTCAGTTTCCTTTTAAATGCAAGAAGTGCTGAAGATGTACCAACAATTGCGTGGACTTGGAAATGACACCAGCTACTCTGAGACGTGTATTTTTGCTTCGACCAGGACCATATCCTGTAAGAAAGAAATGAAATTATACACAAATATGCCCCTTGCTGACCAATAGCTAAACTAACTAATATTATGCAACTTTTTAAAATCCATTTAACAATTATGTATATATAATACTGATATGGATATAGATATTTTCAATGACATTCTATAATATAAACTCCTTTCTAGCTTTCATGAATGCAAAAATAAAAGAAGGAAATCTTGATCTACAATTGTGTAATTGCAACGTTTCTCATTCTAGTCAATTTATGTAAAATACTAAAAGTAGACATACCTTTTATTGTAGTATTGTTGCCTTTCAAATGCATTTCACAATCCCTTCATGGTTATCACTTTGGTTATAATTCGCTTCCTTTAATCCAACTTCTTTAGCTTACACTGGAATTTTCTTTGGTTCGATAACCGCTCTATTAACGTTCAAAAATATTACGCGTCATTTCCGGGAAGATAACTCTGTTTGTCACAGAAAGTGTTCAATTTCTAAACACTTAAATCTAAACACGTCTTAAATCTAAACACGTTTAGATATAAAACATGTTTAGATATAAGTGTTTAGCCGTTAATCACAATCTTAAACATGTTTAGGTCTAAACACGTAATGGAAGTGTTTATTTTCTAAACGCAGTTTTTACAGTGTAGTCTCTTTACGCATCTAAGACGGCCATCTTGTAATAACAGGTGAGACACAACAATTATTTCATGCTTCTCAGAGTTGGTGTGATACTCAATAATAATTGTTTCTTTTTAAAGACCTCAAAAATATATTTTTTTCTTATAAAAATGATATACAATCTATAAATATCTTGAAGTACTTATCCAGTAAAGCAATGAAGGACTGTCTGTATCATGTATTGATAATCCATTCCTTTCAACGTTTACTAATTCATGTCAATTTTGAGCTTATTTAATAATATGTCCTTCATTGTCTTTTTATGAAGTCAGAGTATTAATTAAAACACTATATTATAGCACCGTCTTCATTATGTGACAGACCACTATAATGGATTCCCTGGACAAAGCTCAAGTACTCCTCCTCTGTGACCTGTGTCAAAGAGCTCCATTACAGAGTCATTGTGAACTTTGTCATATTAACCTGTGTAAGGTCTGTGTAGGGGAGCATCTCTCCGATTAATCTAAAAGACACAACGTTGTGCAATACAAACACAGAACTTCTACCCCTAACTACAGTACCCGCATCGTTATGCTACGTTCCCACTGTCGTGCGGTCAGTTACGATAGATCAATCGTAGCTGATCGCGGAGTTTTTATTGAATTTTATGCCAAGATACGAAGAGATGCGTATAGGTGCGTTTTCATACGTTTCGTTACGCTTTTATGCGCTATGCCCGCGATGGATAAATTTCATGTGATGCGATCTCTGACGATCTGACTACCGTTCGGATAAGATGAATTACGTTTCAATAGGATTATCAAGATTTAGTCGAAAAAGGACCTCGATCTGTCACGAATATCACGATCCGAGTTCTCGATTAGAAAGGATCTCCTACGTTTTAACACGTACTCATACGATATAATACGTTCATTGCGCTCTCTTGCGCTAATGTACGATAAAATAACACGTTCATTGCAATGTCTTTCACGATCAGGATCAAGAGAGAACACGCTTTGAGCTACGATTGTACCCCGACAGACATATAAAAATCTGGCTATACTGAGTAATTTATATTTTATCTCTTGAAATAAAACAAAACATAAACATACAATCAATAATAATGGCAGAAGTAAAGGTTGATGACAACTTCATAAACGTGGTGTTTGTAGTGTAACTATGGTCATATGTTATTGCTGTCAAAGTAGAGTAAAAGAGCAGTATATAACTATTTCTTATCTTATTTTCACAGATGTTGCCTCTGATGGAACGGGTTTAAGTTCAGAAGAACATAGGAACTCCTCTCTTTCTATTTTGTACCTGTTTTATGTGGCATCTTTAAAATATTTTTCCAAAACTCAGACATTTTTTTTTCAAACGGGAAAGAAACGCGTTCAATTTTCCCGTTATTTTTGCAAGCTTAAGTACTCGTAATATAGCGTGATTGTTCGCAACAAAGCGTTAACACTCGTGTCTAATGGCGTTTACTCTCATACGTCCGTATCAAATCGTCTTTGAGCGGGAAAGAACCGTGTCAGCACGTGAGCAGATGGCCACGCAAAGCGTCACAGATAGTGACAGAACGTGAGATATCGCAACGAATCGCCATTCAGCGGGATATCTGTCCTTTCCAAGATCGATCCCGATGATCACGATATACAAGCCAGATTAGTTACGTTTACTTACGATGCAGCTGAGGTTAGTTACGATGTAATGCGATTTGCTGCGATGATAACGATTAAAATCTAATCGTGTTAATCGTAGAAAAATTTTTGACAGTCGTAAAAAATTTCACGATCAACACGATAGCCACGAGTGAACACAAGATTTGTTTCGGTTTGATACGAGCACTACGATTTGTCAACGTTCCAGTCCCCCGAAACCAATCGTGGCGCCAATCGTGATAGTGGGAACATAGCATTATTCTTTCCAATTTTATCGTGTTCTATCGTGCGTGTATCCTATCGTATCGTGCGTGTATCCTATCGTATCGTGTTTTCCGTTTATCAGGTTTTGCGTTTTCTATCGTGTTTTCCGTTTATCGTGTTTTGCGTTTATCGTGTAGATCATTTATCAGGTTCTATCGTGTATCGTGTTTTGCGTTTATCGTGTAGATTCGGAAACCCTCGTTTTTTATCTTTACTATAGAAAGAAACTACTGAGCTATTCCGAGTTTATTTTTCGTTTTGTAAATAAAAATAAGATTAATTCAACCGAAAAAGAGAAAATAAAGTTTTATCCCTTTCTTTTTCATCAATATAAGAAATATTAAAGTGTAGATGGAAAAATACAATTAATAGCGTATTTCATGAATGAATAAATTGATTTATTAATAAATAAATAAATAAAATAATTATATCATGGTAAAGCAGAGAGTGATTGTCAAAAAATCGGAAATGAAATTAAAAGTAGATCGATCACCTGGTCTAATTTTTAAAAAAATAATTTATCGAATTGTATGATTTATTTTGTCAACATTAAATACTGTCTATTAAAATGATTTTTTTCAAATGAATCGGAGTAACCAGAGAAAGATTTTTGGTATCCTACGATGTTTGTGTACGCAAAACGCAAATAAATAAATGCAGGATATGGATATGTATCTTTTTTTTAATGCAATATTCTGTTTTTCCTTGTTTATTGTCTAAAAATAACGTTAGTAAAATGTTTTTGCCTCTGATCTGCATGTATGCACAATTATTTAAAGTCTTGATGTTACAAATATACATGTAATAAAACCTAAGACATTGATCCAGATGATTTTAACAGCGATTTTGGCCGTATTCGTTCAAAATTTAAATTTATTTTTTAAAGCAATTATAAATTCCTTGAAAGAGGTGGCAACACACGACAAACTGTTTTACAGACTTTTTACTCATTGAAGGAGGATAAGCTAAGGTGTTTTAGCGTTGAAAGGAATATAGAAAGAAATTAGCCAGTTGATGCGTAACCGGGCTATTAAAATACTTATTGCATTAAAATAAAAATAATATATACAGGGAAAAACACGAAGTTTTTAAACAGCTTACCTTTTCGACGCGGAAAAAACTGAAAATATAATCCATCGGGATGCAAAATCAAAATAAATCGAAGACCTTTCCTTCCCAGAAAACTGACACGTATGTGTAGCTCTCTAATCATGCGTTCCTGTGCGGTCAACCACCCCCTCTCCCTTCTTTCCTAACTGACACATCTGCCCGTGTGTTTGTGTGTGATCACCGTCAACATACCTGTACTGTTTTTACACCTGGGTTCAATTAGTAACCTCGAATACTACCTGGTTCTAATGAAACACATCTACTTATTTTCGGGATTTTGTTTCTAACTTGTTTGAACAAATTTATCAAAGATTTAATTCAAAATATACGAGTATTCATTAATTGTACAATTTATGGATTAAAAAATCATCTCATTGCTTGAATGTTAAATAAAAATTCAATGAATAAATTTAATGAAATGATTGAAGTCCCTTAACTCACTCCGCTGATTTTTTTTCATTTCGAACAATGTTTCCATTATGTTTATGTAAATAAGTCTTATAATAAACTTTTTAAAAATACTGCACTTATGGTACAGGCACTTTCGGATTATCGGGTTTTCTACGTAATACGGACAAAATTAATATTAGGAAACAATTTCATTGATCGTAGAAACGGATGAAATAGTTCTAACATTCTAAACTATGAAAATTAGCTCGCATTATTTTTTTGTACGGTATCTTACTATAAAAATAAACAAAAGGAGTCGTCTGATCCGCCGTGACCATGCAAGGCTAATAAATACTACGAATCAATTTGTAATATTAATCGATTTTATTCCATACGTATATAACTTTATTTAAGAATTCAATATCATATTTGGCTATTTGGTTAGATCTTGTTTATCTACTTTAAATTGGTTGTGGACTTTCTACATACCGCCCTCCGAATATGCCTAATATAAAATGATTTTTTAAGGTTTAATAATTCATTTGCCGAATTAAACCTATTTTTTGTTTTTATTAGAAACAGTACACACAGAGTTTAATAGCAATGACTTATAATTATTTAGTAGGAAGAGTCGCATTTCACTCTTTTAATATTTGTATAATTAATTTTTCTGTTTTGTATTTTAAAGAACAATGTATTTTACCATTCAATGTTCGTTAATAAATAAGAGGTTTTAAGTATCTGATATATAAATGTTTACATGTACATAAGTCCGAGCTTAGCGCAAAAGTACATGTGCAGTTGTAGCAGATTCATATTCTCATGACACAGTTTACATGTATTAATGCAGAGCGCCATTATTTTTACATTTATTTAGATTTCTATTCAGGAATTTAGTTTTCTTGAACTGTTTAGTTCTTGATAGATCTATCATGTTGAATTTATTAATTTTGTTAAAGCCGTTTTCTTTTAACCTTTCTTTCGGCCGGTCTTCTACTTGCATTTTTTTTCTAAGATATTAATATTTAATTACGATTTTTGGATACATCGCAGATTGTAAGCTTTAGACATTAAATACAAATATTTAATTTATTGCGTAAATTTCTTCCGTGAAATAACTTGGTACCTGTAGATAAAATTATTAGATAGAAAATTAAAGTTTAATTTTTTTCATAAATAATAAATCTGTTTATAGAGTTTCAAAATTCACACCCTTGAGAAGAAATTAAAAAAAAAAATACAGTCTCCATTTCATAATAATCTATTTAATTACTGTCATTTTTTTTATATAAATAAACAACTTTTGTAAATAACCACAGAGATCTCAGGTTCTTTTTATAATAATTGAATGTACTTTATAGTTTAGATTTGAAGCTCTGCAAGTATTTAAATCAAAATATATTAATTAATTTAAATAATCTTTAAATTTCATTTGAAATAATCTTTTCGTCTTGTCAGAAAACGTTCCGCATTTTGAAACAATCCTATCAGGTTTTGCGTTTATCCTATCATGAAGATCGTTTATCAGGTCTATCGTGTTTTGCGTTTATCGTGTTTTGCGTTTATCGTGTTTTCCGTTTATCCTATCGTGCGTGTATCCTGTCCTATCGTGCGTGTATCCTATCGTATCGTGCGTGTATCCTATCGTATCGTGCGTGTATCCTATCGTATCGTGCGTGTATCCTATCGTATCGTGTATCCTGTAAAGAATCACGATGCGGGTACTGTACCCAAAATGCCCAGACCACACACAGAAACATTGTGAACTGTGAGAAATGTGACATTCCTGTCTGTTCTACCTGCATCTCCTCTGGTAAACATCACGGTCATATAATAACAGATATCCTACAAAAACTAACTTCTAAAACAAAAGATTTAGAAATTGACTTACAAGAACTAGAGAAAAGAATTCATCCTACCTACAAAGATATTGCATTAGATCTAAACTCTGAAAAAGAAAGCTTGGAAAAACATTATGAGAAACTGACAACAGCTGTCACCAAACAAGGCGAAGACTGGTACAGAGAAATAATCATTATCGTCAACAAACAGAAATCTGAAATTGATGAGATGAAATCTAAACACCTGGCTGTTCTAAATAAACAGGAAAAAGAAATCAAACAGATTACTTCTGATGTAAGAGAATGTATTCTTGATCTGAAAAAAATACTTGACTCCAATGATGTCTCCCTAACCTCTGGGTACAAATCCAGGAATGCTGAATTCAGAAGTTTACCACCTAAGGTCAATGTCTCATTACCAAGTTTCTCTTCTCTTCAAATCAACACAGAACAACTCCATCAAATGTTTGGTTCAATATCACCATTATCCATTACAACAGAAGAACATGGCTACACAATGAAGACACCAGAAGCTGTAACCTCTCCTCCAGTCAAACCACTGCTTGATAAACCAGAGCTCATCACCACCATAGACACTGAGTATAACAAACTATACAGTGTTACATGTCTCAGTGATGAAGAAATCTGGACACGTGGACAAGACAAAATCATGAAACTCAATCTCCAGGGCAAAGTACTGAAGTCAATCCAAACCAAGTCTAGGAATGAACCACGCGACATAGCAGTGACAAAGAGTGGAGATCTAGTTTATACTGACTCTTATACAAGAAGTGTATGCATAGTGAACAATAAACAGAGACAGGAAGTGATCAGACTACAGGGGTGGAGACCTCGCAATGTCTATAGTACTTCCTATGGTGAAATCCTGGTTAACATGGTAAGTGATGATAATAAACAATCAAAAGTTGTCCGTTACTTAACCTCCACAGAAAAACAAACCATTCAGTTTGATAGTGAGGGTAAACCTATCTTTTCATCTGGTAATCTTAAATACATCAGTGAGAACAGGAACCTGGATATCTGTGTAGCTGACTATGAAGCCAAAGCAGTAGTGGTGGTTAATCAGGCAGGAAAACTCCTATTTAGATACACTGGTCATCCCTCTACTGACAGGGGATCATTTTATCCAGTCGGCATTACGACAGACAGCCAGAGTCCGATCCTGATAGCAGACAAAATCAACAGCTGTATCCACATCCTAGATCTGGACGGACAGTTCTTTTGTTACATTGATAACTGTAATCTAGAGTTTCCATTGGGTTTATGTGTAGACACCAGTGACAACCTCTTTGTGGCTGAGTATGACAGTGGTTACGTGAAGAAAATCAAATATATGTGAAAAATCCACCATAACCATGCAGTGAATAAATAAATACTATGTTTATTCTAATCATGTCCAATTGAAGTGATAATGGAAGAAACAGTGTGGCACGTAAAAAATTGTATACAAACATTTTCATTGGAATTACATTGTTATGGAATAAACTGTGTTGTTTTTTTACGATCATTTTTATAATTATGTTATTAGGTGTTGTATATAATTGCCCCTAGGCAGAGAAATAATATGAAATTAAACAAACTCTAAAATACTGGTGGAAATGACAAACATTATCAGTTGAACATTATATACAATATCGTATATAGCATTACGTCAATTTCAAAACTCTAAAAAAAGATTATCTGTTATGTATGAGTTGACAATGTTAAGTTAAACTTGAAGATATTAGTAAAGAGGATGTTCAAGTTTGTGTACATATAATTTTTTTTACTATAGTGGTTTATGCATTTTGAACCCTGTGTTATGAATTGATATAATTTATAACTCCTTTGTAACTTGTATGATATTTTTTAATCATTATAAAGTAGAAATTAAATATGATATGATAATTATGTTTCTATAAATGAGATAAAGAAATTTGGAGTGAAGAAACATATTATTAATTAAGCTCTCTAAACATTTTATTGAGAAGAATTGTAGAGCATCAGACTCAATTTTTTTTAATTTTTTGTTTAACATTAGCAAAGTTGTTCTGGGGAGGTGTAAATTTTTAAAAGATTATCTACTTTTACTCTGAAAAAAAAATCAGCCAAGTCATATGAGTTATTAATATTCAAATACACTGACCCTGTTACATTGGGTATCCACCCCCTTTCTCCCAGCTCGACCAATCATCTGCTTGTAAGTCAGGAAAACTATGGTTTTTCCGTGGAAGATTGGGGTCCTGATGATAACACGCCGGGCAGGAAGATTAACCCCGGAGGACAGGGTGGAGGCAGCTACCAGGACCTTAACTGACCCCTGTCTGAAGGCCCCCTCTAAAATGTCCCTCTCATCAAAGGTCAAACCTGCAAGATCAAAGGTCAAACCTACAAGATAAAAGGTCAAAACTGCAAGATCAAAGATCAAACCTGCAAGATCAAATGTCAAACCTGCAAGATTAAGTCACAAATAATTGTCAATGATAAATCTGAATTATGATTATTACACTACTCAAATAGACTTGATCTTGGGGAACTGGAATCTTGACAACTCCTTCAATGATATACTTGAAATGTATATTGATGCTGTTCTGTTCTTGCTGATAAATTTGATTTTTACTGTTATAATTATTCTTGGTTTTTGCTGATAATTGTAGCTGTTACTGAAAAATACTGATAATTACTGTCATCTTTACTGTTGAGTTTGATAGATACAATCACTAACTTTTGTCACATTCTTTTGTTTTTTTTTTATGGATGCAATCTAATATAAAAAAGATGCATCACCTGACAATTATATTACCTGAGTGGTGATAGGCCACCCCGTATGGCACGGTCTTCTCCAGGGTAGAATCTTACCCCACAAGAGTCCTCCTCAGTTGTTCTACAACCTCCATCAGGGAATGTCTGTTCAGGGGTAGAAGGGAGGGACTGTCTGTCTCAGGACCTGACAATGTATAGAATTCATCATAGAATAAAGGGGAGGGACTGTCTGTCTCAGAGCCTTACAATGTATAGAATTCATCATAGAGTAAAGGGGAGGGACTGTCTGTCTCAGAGCCTTACAATGTATAGAATTCATCACAGAGTAAAGGGGAGGGACTGTCTGTCTCAGGACCTGACAATGTATAGAATTCATCATAGAGTAAAGGGGAGGGACTGTCTGTCTCAGGACCTGACAATGTATAGAATTCATCACAGAGTAAAGGGGAGGTACACTCTGCCTCAGGACCTGACAATGTATAGAATTCATCAAAGAGTAAAGGGGGGGAACAGTCTGTCTCAGGACCTGACAATGTATAGAATTCAGGACCTGACAATGTATAGAATTCATCACAGAGTAAAGGGGAGGGACTGTCTGTCTCAGGACCTGACAATGTATAGAATTCATCATAGAATAAAGGGGAGGGACTGTTTGTCTCAGGACCTGACAATGTATAGAATTCATCATAGAGTAAAGGGGGGAACTGTCTGTCTCAGGACCTGACAATGTATAGAATTCATAACAGAGTAAAGGGGAGAAACTGTCTGTCTCAGGACTTGATATTGTACAGAATTCATCATAGAGTAAAGGGGAGAAACTGTCTGTCTCAAGACCTGACAATGTATAGAATTCATCATAGAGTAAAGGGGAGAAACTGTCTGTCTCAAGACCTGACAATGTATAGAATTCATCATAGAGTAAAGGGGAGAAACTGTCTGTCTCAGGACCTGACAATGTATAGAATTCATCATAGAGTAAAGGGGAGAAACTGTCTGTCTCAGGACCTGACAATGCATGTAAAACAGAATTCAACATAAAGTAATTTGTGATTAATCACAGAGTAAAACAGAACTCATCACAAAGTAAAGCAGAATTAATCATGGTAAATCAGAATTTACAAAATAAACCAGAATTTATCAAATATTGAATCTTGATAACTTAATAGATTATACGTCTGACCCATCATAGAGAAAGTCTGTAACACATACCTCCCCTAAAAAAAAACAATCTTCAGAAAACACCTTTTCCTTTCATCCTCACCTTTCTTCAGATGATATAGAACTTTCTGGCAATCGTCTCTGCTAACTTCTCACACCAGTTCTTCGTCGGACAGAAAATAAGCACCGAGTGTCCCCCAGTCAATGATTCTAAGCACAGTGGAATCACATGATCTGTATCCCCCTTAAACGCCACTCTAAGATCCACCTCTCTGATTTTATCTAGACTGGAATCAAAGATGTCTGCCCCCAGTTTGAGACATTCCGTGTTGCCCACAGTTTGAGACATTCCGTGAGCGGTACGGGGCGGTAGTCTATGCAGTAGAGCGTGGCGTCCAGCCAGTGAGACAGAAGGTCAAGGTTAGTCAGGGTGGCACTCATATGTACAATCTGAATTCATTCTGCGGAGCTTAAAAGAGGGAAGAAAATATCAAAGCAAATTCTTAAAACATAATTGAAATTTTAAAACGTTGCCATTTAATAAGTTTATCTATGGTGACCTTTATCTCTGCCATATTACCCCCTTATGGCAAAGTCCTGGTTCATTACCCAGAATCCCTTAGTATCGGATGTTTTTGTAGGCTTTTTCGGACTGAGGAATCGGATCCTGGTGAGCATCAGTTCTGGAAGGTACCCCCTGTGTTGATTTCCTTAAAGGTGTAACTCGTCCACAGTTATATTAAGAATATACCCAAAGCTTCTATTGAAACAGTGATAGTAAGGAAACGCTTAGCTTTCTGAGACAGATGGATGTTTATATGGAGCTACATCCGCCGCCTCCTCCTATTGTAGACGATCAGCCAGGGCCAGATTTCGGTACTGTGCCTTTGCCCTCAATGGAGGGACTAACGATTCACGATAGTCCTGAGAGTACCTATTGTACGACAGAGGACATTATTCATATGCAACAGAAGGCCCAGCAGGCCAAACAAGGAATTAACAGAATCTCAGAGAAGTATGATGCTGTGGATAAATTCGGCCCTCAGGGCAAAAGTAACTTATCTGGGAGTAAAGAACGACTAACAATATCAGATATTTAAGACCCAACCCCAAGTGGGTCTAATAGATCTGGGCTTAATGTGTGTAACTTTGCCGAGGGTGTGACAGAAGAAGATTTATTGCAAGTGGATATGTTTTATCGAAGTCATAAGACTGAAGTTTTTGTGTGTCAATGTCTTGCCAATCTTTACTTTGGGAAAGTTAAAAGAAATCAAGACCAGTGGAAGTTCGCCATGACAGGGATTCCCGTCTTGGTTTTAGACACGGGGGATCATCACAGAAACCGGAAGTTACAAATCGTTTTGGCGGAAAAAGGCATGGGCTTTCTTCTCTGGAAAGACGCCATTGATCATTTGTCGACTTATAAAGCCGAACACCCGAATTTTCACACAATGTCCCTGTCTACGGATCACACGAGACTAGCGGGACTTAGTTTCGATCATTCGACCGCCGCTTCGGATT